TTATTTTTTAGCTTTTAGAATCAAATTTAGAGAGCATGTTTTAATTGTTTCTGTTTAGTATTTTGACTTATAACTTTCAAAACACAGAAAACACTCATTTCATTAACTACTCTATGAAACAGTTTCAAGAACAAAAATAACAGAACATATTCAAACAGACCCTAAGATGGGTAGTCTATTTCCTTGTTATTTCCTTCTTTTGTGTTTAATTGTGATCGCCACTGTAATTTCTGGCTTTAGTTGATATCAATACAAATTTGGTGGTGTTGTTTAACATTGTGTTGGCAAGTTGTAATTTGAAGGACATTGTCATTCTGGTACCATCAATTAACAATCAGATAAATCATAAATATGTGAAATACATTAAGAAATTGTTTTTCAAAATATATAAAACTGTAATTTTTACTTCCACAAATATCACCTTCAAAAGGAAGGATTAAGTTGATTAAACTTGTCATGCAAAAGAACACAAAATGATTTAGTTACTTTTACTTGTAATGAAGTTTGTCAAAGGGGTTCACAGAACTTCAAACCCAAGAGCATGCTCAAGGTACAACAAAAGAATTTAAATGTTACAAAACCATAAACTTGTCCCGCAAGAAATATCCTCTCATTGAGAACCTCAAGATAATAAATATTATAATAAACACAAAACACTCTACATGAAGGGTTAAGTTCACAATCACTCAAATTTCAAATAAAAAAAGGGGATAGATTAGCTTACCAAAAATGTGAGGGTCCTTTGTCCAACCTTCATCCTAATCAAGTTACATATTATGAAATAAATCAGAACCAAAAGTCAAAATTTCAATAAGACACAGTTTTAAATCAACATGATAATGTTATGTACTGCTAGAACTTTGAAAGTAAAGTAGATACATCATGACATACATTTGTTTATTGACTTCAAAAATCTTATTAGCAAAACCAATAAACTACTTAAGCATGTTAAAAAGGTTACAATAATCAGCTGAATTGGTCCTCCAACAGAATAACATCAAATCAACTTTATTTGTACCAAAGCACAAGACTATTAAATAGAACAAAAACCATATGTGACTCAGCATAATTAGATGGTTTGGTACATGGTGTAACACTATCTTTTTTGGGTACAGCCTACGGGAAGTCAGGGTGCCCTATATTTGTTTTTATGAATTACCATTTCCTAGAATAGCCAGTTCATCAAAGGCAATGTGTAAAATACACATAGCACGTGTTTGGTAACTAATTTTTTTGGTAACTAATTAATTATGGGAAATAATCGCTTTACCAACAAAAATAAAATCTTCGAGGAAGCTGCAAAGAAAGAACTATTTTCCCAAAATAAGCTAATCCAAACAAGCAAATACTCTCTCAACAGTTGACAGTAGAAGGGCTCCATTACAGCCACTAGAAAATTGGCAGTTACATAATGAAAAGTTTTCTAGTCCTACTAAAGTACTGAAAGAGTGGGTACTATTGCAATTCATTACTTTCCATGTGAACCATTTTAAAAACATGGCTTAGTTGGACACTAAAATTAAGGAGATACCAAGATAGTTGTCATAAAATGAATGGTAGTAGCAGGGCTAGAAGTTATTCCCATGTATCGTGTGCTCACCACACATAAATCCAATAAGAACAATTCAAGAAAAGTGTGAAGCGTGAAGAGAGACAAAAGCAAGTTTTGATCAACTAAACAAGTAAGGGGTCAATGAACAGGGACCCGCAAACAAACAGTCCAAAAATTGATGTTTTAGAGTCAATGCCAACGACTAAAAATGTGGATTTGACATGAGCAAATTGGCCTATTTTTTTCATTTAAAAATGATATCTCTGCTTCTTTATTTTTGCCGTTATAATTTAAAAATTAAAATTAAAAATATAAATATCTAAAAAAAAATAGGAGAATGATTCGTTTACAAATTACATTAAATATGATCAATCATACACTCTTTATTGAAATATGACCCGTCATACTTAGTGTAGTTTATAAACAAAAAATTTATAAATATAACCTTCACAAAAAAATAATATGCAAAATTTGATTAAAAACAAAAAAATCATTTTTTTCTTAAAAAAATTAAATATATAATCGAATCATTATAAATATTTGAATGTACTAAATAAAAATTAATAATCATTAAATATATTATCCTACTCAAATTTCATTTCAAAATCCGAGTCAAACACCAATAAAAAAATAGTGATAAAAAATTGGAAAATCATTCTTTTATTTTACATGAAAGAATTATCTCATATTGCTTTCACATAAAAAAAAATTATACCATCACTTTTTTCTCTTTAGTTAAGCTAGCATGGGCATCTTTTTTGGCATATTATTTTGTGCTGTGCTAGTCTGTCTTGGAAATGCTTATTGAGCAAATGCTTGCACCCAAAACACAGATACATTGTCACCTTCTCTCATATAGATTTAGCAGAGTTTTTGATGTATGTGTTGGAAAATATTATATAATAATTTTTAAAAAATAAAAAATGAGTTAGTATTAATTTTAATTATTTAGTAAATAACTCGTCTTTATCACATTAATTTATTAAATAACTCGTCTTTATCACATTAATTTATTAAATAACTCGTCTTTTGAATCTTGGTAAATTTTCATTGAATTGTTAAATTTTTGTAACTGTATAGCACCATTCCTGAATATTTTTGAATCTCAAAAAATATTTGTTTCGGCGCATAATAAGGAATTTTTTTAAGGAATAATTAATATTGTGATTTGTTCCTTTTAGGCTGAAAAACTGTTGCTATAAAACTAGGCATAGTTGTATTGCATAAGGAATATTCAGCAAAGATTCTGGGAGGATGATATGATGCAATTGAGCACAGATAATTCAAAAGCTTAATTAATTATAAGGTTTTGAATCTGTAATATACACATGCGATAAGACTCCATTATGCCTTGTCATCAATTATCAAATTCCAATTGTCCGACAGGTAGGTGCTCATTTGAAATTTTAAAATTGAAATTCATGCAGCAATGTAAAGGCGCCAAATTTAGAAAGCTATATCTTGACAAAGGCAAGATCTACGAAACAAACAAAATAGGTTGCCTCCATAACTATGTATTTTCATGATTAGTATTATAACTCACTATATAATATTCTCAAAAAACAATGTTAGTTAATGAATTATTTAATTAGTAGCATTTATTAAAATTTACCTAATATTTAATTTAATTATGATAAGGATTTTTTTTCTTTCTAAAATGAGATTATCCCTTCAATGAAAATAAGTAACGATGTATCCACCCTAAAATTTTAAGAGATTAAGATCACAATATACTTAAAATAAAATAAAGGAAAAATATATCCTTAATTGTTCATGAGACAAACTCATTTATATGTCATTTGATTTGATTTTATGTATATTGAAAGTTGATACCATAACTTCAAATAATATTAACTCGGTAAAATTCTCAAAATTGGTGAATTATTATCACATGAAATCACGTTAAGCCTAATCTAGAATTATTTTGAAAGTGAATAAGTAAATATGTATCTATTATTATTTTAATTTAAAGTACATTATGAATTTAATGTTTTGAAATTTAATACTGAGTTCATTCTTACTCACTCACTCAACAAATCCAGTTTAGAATATTATTTTCCCTGCAAGCTAAACAAATAAAAAAAAAATCTCTAAAGTCTTTACTATTTTCTCAGATAGAACTCATAGAAGATTGCAAAGATCTGATACTTGTATTTCATTTTCTGAAATAGGAGACGGGATAATAATATCCTTCATATTTATAGCAGCAAACAAAGCTGCTGATTGAATTATTACCATTTACCAAAACCAGATCGATATAATCACGAAGACATGATGAATCCTAACCGTCCTTCTTGATTGTTATATTTACGTGAATCAAGCATGTATACTTTGAGACGTGCCAAAAACTAATAACTGAGAATTTTAAACTTATATAAGTTTTTTTTAAAAAAAAAAAAATCTAATTTATACAAGTTTATACACCTAAAATAAATTTGGGGCTTTGGCTCGAAGAGCCAACTATGATATTAATCCCGATGGCAGAATGAATAAATGATTAAGATTTTATGTCCCTCTCTAATATGACGTTGATAGATATCATATTGGGTTTAGGTTTAGGATTTTGCACCTGCTATCATATTGGATAATAACTTTTCACATTAATTCTTTATAACTTTTATAATGAAATCTACAATTATTAATTATAGGTAATAATACATTATTAACATCATTTAAGTAACTCAAATTAAAATATTAAGTACATAACGTTTTACTTATATGTATATAAACAGATTAAACAATATATCATTTGATATTAGAGTAAAATACTCCAACTTTTCATATTTTTGCTTGATTTTTCATATTCCTCTCTTTATCTTTCAGTGTTAAAAATAATTACTTTGCCCTTAATTATGATAATAAGGAACCTAGTCCCTCGTCATCAACCTCATCGACGGTGCACATCCATTGCCCCACTCTAAATCTTAACCTTCCCTTATAAATGTAAATGTTATAAGTTCTTAATTATATACTTAAATAACTTTAATAAATGTTATAAGTTTTAATATATATTTTTTAAAGACTTAAAAGCTAACTTATTTATTAAATAAGTTGGCCAAAATAACCCAATCAATTAGGGTAGTGAGAGAATTCACCCCAAAAAAGAAAAAAGAAAAAAGGAAAAAGAAAAAAAGGTAGGGTGTTGGAGAGAAAAAGATTGAAAGAAAAGAGCGAGAGAATTGGGACTTTACCTACAAAAAAATACCAAACATGACAAATAATTTCCGTGGCGTATTACATTGTTACATGACATAGAAAGAAACATATAACAGTGAGACAAAGAGAACGAAACGTTTAGAATTATAACATAACAAACAGAGTTAAGTGACACGAATCACATTGAAAGTGCAAGAAGTGCTACCTTTTTCTTCTGCTTCTTAATCTACAACGTTAGGACCTTTCTTTTTCCATACTTTCTCTATCTATCTCTCTCTCTCTCTCTCTCTCCTGCAATTCCCAGCTCCGAAAAATTATTTGGGTCGGGTTTTTGATCCGTGTTGTTGGAGAAAGGTGATGGAAGAAGGCCTTGTTTGCCAGTGGAGCGTGTTCAGATCTCTTTTGGCAATCCTTCAATGGTGGGCTTTCAATGTCACTGTCATTATCATGAACAAGTGGATCTTCCAGGTTTCCCTCTCCTTCTTTAACTCTTATTGTTTTTTCTTTTCTCCCACCTTTCATTTATCTCTCCAATTCTGTTATTTACACTTCATTTGCTTTTTGTTTTCCCTTCCGTCCCAAAAATCTGTTAAAGATTCTTTTTTGTTTCCCAATTCAATTGTAAATCTAAACATTTTTATGTAATTTGCTTTCAAAACAATGAGGAATGATATTATTTTTTCTGGGGGGTCATTCGGGAGTTTTGTGTGTTAATATCGGAATACTTGTCTGATCTATGGAGTTTTGATAAGATCTATCCTTTAGCAATTTAGCATGCTGAAGCCTGAAGCTTGGAATTCGTATGTTAAACTCCTAGAATCAAGAAACTTAAGAAACTGCCAAGAAGGCAAGAATTAATTTGTGTGTGCTTTTAGACATTATTGTTTGACGTTGCCTTGTGATTCATTGCATTTTTTTTTTCATAACATCACTGGTCTTTTCATTGGGCCAGGTCTGTTACAATGTTATGGTTTTCTTTAATGATCTATGTACCCTTGTACATTAATATGCATAATTGTTAGTTTGCCATAAATTCTTACTTTAGTTAGTTGGGCACTGCATATTGAAGTTGAACAGAGTATGGATTTCGTGAATTTGATTTGCTCATCAGGTGAGGTCTTAATTTATAAACACTGTTGTTCTTTTTTATGATTGCATTTGAGCTACATGCAATTCTTGGTGATCATTGTAACATCCTTTTTTTTATCTTGGCTTGTGTAATCATAATTAAAACAGTTATTCAAAATATTCAAAATCACATCATTTGGATATCCTATACGAGGACATATTTAGTGGGTCCTTGAGATGAATTAAAATTATCAACATAGGTAGTAAGTGTGATTAATGTGTGACAAATTAAACTCTGGCGTTAAAGCTTCTAGAAAAGTGTGTAGTTTTTCTCCCATGGATTTTTGGATTTCCCCGGTTATATAATTCTACAAAATTCAATTCCACTTTTTGCTGGTCGGTGGTCAGGAAAGGTCCACCAATATTCTTATGTTATATTCCATATTCTAAGAATATTTTTTTCATTATGACATTGACTTGTGAAACAAAGCTTTTTGATAGGACCTCAAATGATCCTGATCACCATAGTATTTAGGTCTTTTATGTTCTTGTTCTATCTGTGAGGGAAAAAAGTTTATCAATCTCAATCACTATTAGAGATATAATATAAAATTATTCATGTGCCTTCACCCAATAGCTTTGGGAGAGTTGGTCCATAACATGGTATCAGAGCCCCTCTATGGGATAGTTGGTTCTTGACAATCACTTCCTCCACATCTGTGTATTTAGGTTTCCTTCTTGCTCACCTTGCTCCCTCAATCATCACATTAAAAATTTGTATGGATTATAACAAATTCTTTAAATTCAATTTTTTTCTTCTTTTGCAGAATTTGGATTTCAAGTTTCCCCTGTCAGTATCCTGTATCCACTTTATCTGCTCAGCCATCGGAGGATATGTGGTAATTCATGTGCTGAAGCTTAAACCATTGATATCTGTTGACCCTGGAGATCGCTGGAGAAGAATCTTTCCTATGTCATTTGTATTCTGTATTAACATAGTGCTGGGGAATGTGAGCCTACGATACATTCCAGTTTCTTTTATGCAGACAATAAAGTCATTCACTCCTGCAACAACAGGTAAGATTCAAATTCAATAGTTGGTTACATTTATGCCACCTGATTTATGTTTTAATTTCAAGGACATTTTCATCTGAATATGGTGAACTTCCACAGTTCTTTTGCAATGGCTAGTGTGGAGGAAATATTTTGAATGGCGTATTTGGGCTTCTCTTATACCTATTGTTGGAGGGATTCTTCTCACTTCTGTTACAGAGCTTAGTTTTAATATGTTCGGATTTTTTGCTGCCTTATTTGGCTGTTTGGCTACATCTACAAAGACTATCCTTGCAGAGTCTCTGTTGCATGGATACAAATTTGATAGGTGCAGATTTTATTTGCCTTTTCTTTTTTTATTTGTATTTGTGATTTCTTGTTCTTTCTTTACTTTCTCTCTTTATTCTCTTTCTGGATTTTTGCCTGTGTAGACTTTCCATTTACTTATGGGTCTGCAATGTCTACTCCTTCTGGTGGACGATGGGTTTTTAGTCCCTACATTGACTTTACTAGAGCTAGGAAGTTTTTTTGTATTGGATCTAAGAAAATTTGTGGGTGCTGTTAAATTGGATCGTGGCACCTGCTATTAGCATCCACCAAACATGGAACCTAATGCATATATACCAATTGGTGTGGCTGATTTTGTTTCATGGACCTTTAATGTAGAACTAGAAGTTCCTCATTCTCACTCATGGCCTATACGTATGTGTATATATGGAATTTAAATATTGCACTTATTAGTAACAACCACCTTGTCTAGTGCTTGTTTTTCTCAAAAAGATTAATGTTTATGTTATATGATAAGATTAAAGTAGAGGATTGGTTTTTTAGTCTAGACTCTAGATATGACACAATTGGCATATGCATCTTAATTGCAGTCATAAACATTTATGAGATGAGCAAATATTTTTTGTAGGAAAACCAGTCTATCTTGATATTACTGTTGGATGTTAACTCATTAACCTTTCAATTGACCAACTTTATATTTTTCATTTATTCTTTTTCGTCAACATGCCAAACTATATTTATGATAAGGTAACCTTCCACAAAATGATGTTTTCTTTTATGATTTTTATACCAATATTTGATATTCATGATTTTGGATATATGCATTGAAACAAATATGTCATCGTACCATTTATGTAACCACTAACCAGTGTGATGATGAAATTGCATATGTTTATGTTCATGTTATGCTTCTATCATTTTTATTGGATTACATTGGAGGTGCCAGCAATTGGGTAGGGGAGAGGAAAATCTTAAAATCAAGTCTTAAAGACTTGGGCCAGTGCCACTTGAGCTACAAGCTTGACAATGCTTCTGTCCTTTTCTTTTGTCTAGAAGTCCAAATACTGTATCCTAAAAGGACTGATATCTGGACTATTCTCTTAATTCATAGATTGAAAAAATAAGATGCAAGAAGTGGTGATTTGGCCCCTTTTGTGTGTCAATCAGCTTCCAAAGGTTTCAATCAACACCAGGACTCTGGAATATGAAAATCTTCACTGTTGTAGTTACTGGTTAAGGTGTCTGTGTTGTAACATCTATAAGCATCTTTTAACAAAATCCACTTAGGTGCTGAGTTTTCAACATTTTTTCTTGTGTCTCCTTTTATGTATTAATTTTAAAGAAAAAGAAAAGTATTGCCACTGGGTAAGTGTTGATCTTTATCATTCCCTTCATTCCCACTTATTAGGTGCTCGTATAGGTTTCTCCAAACTGCTTTGGGATGATTTTTCTGCTGTATATAGGCTAATTGTTCTTGTTTCCTTTTTTTTAGCATAAACACAGTTTATTACATGGCACCTTTTGCAACTATGATCTTGGCGATACCTGCTATGTTACTCGAAGGCAATGGAATACTTGAGTGGTTAAGTAATCATCCACATCCTTGGTCGGCCCTGATCATTATTTTCAGCTCTGGGGTTTTGGCATTCTGCCTTAACTTCTCCATATTTTATGTGATTCACTCCACCACTGCTGTAACATTTAATGTTGCTGGAAACCTTAAGGTGAGATCTATCAGGCAGATTCAAATACTTCAAACTACTATATTATTTTGTCTTGACATTCAGATTCATCATTTTTTGTTGTCAATTGGTTCAGTGCATATATTATTTAGGAAACTGTTCATATTTTATTATTTAACTACCTGGAGAAACTGTAGCCGCATTATCATTATTCTTTTAACAAGCAGTTTTTCTATTTCTTTCTGCCTGATTAAGTCATTGTTTCACTGAACTCTACACTTCAACATTGTCAGTAAATTACTAAGTGCATGAACCGGCATATTGAGGCTAGGGTAGTGTGGTGGGGTGTGTGAATGGTGAAACCAAATTGTGATGTCTTGAATCATAGTTATTCCGCAGTTACCAATTAACAATAATCATGCCTTTTGTGCAGGTTGCAGTTGCTGTCCTTGTTTCTTGGCTGATATTTAGGAACCCAATTTCATATTTAAATGCTGTTGGATGTGGCGTGACTCTAGTTGGATGTACATTTTATGGTTATGTCAGAAACATGCTCTCTCAACAACCACAAGTTCCGGGAACTCCTCGGACACCCAGGACTCCTAGGATGATGGAGTTGCTTCCTCTTGTAAATGATAAATTGGATGATAAGGTCTAATTGTTTTAGCTGAGAATGAGGTTTCTGCTGTTTGGAAGGGCAGTTATAGGCTTATTAATAGCTAAAGGTGAATATATATATATATATATATATATATATATATATATATATATATAAAAGTGACTTTGATTATATATTCCCTTAGATTGCCCACAGTTTTTAATACATAGTTCTTTTTTGGAGTCCTCCATCTTTCTTCCTTTATTGCTTCTTGCCCGGTGGCTCGTTCGATTTCAGTATTGTTGTTATGTCTCCATTTTTCTATTTTGTTTCCTGATATGGATTGCTTGCAGCCTACATGCGATGATAGCTAATAGTTATTTTGAAAGTGCAAAGGAATTGAATACAAGTTGACCAAAAAATAAACTGAATTATATGGACAAAGCTAACATCAGTAAATTTAACAACTCACGACTAACTTTTTTATTTTTTATTTTTTATTTTTTGGTGGCGAACACAAAATAGTGTGTGGAACTGTTCCTTCGCATGTGATTCACAAAAAGAAAATGTTGGCATTGAGGTTTTTTGGTACATTCATTAAGAATATTGTTTTGAGTATCTTGTAAGTTAAAATATAAACCAAAATACTAAAAAGTTACGGAGACTACTTATTATAAAATGAAATATCATTTAACTAACAAAAGAAACTAATTGTGTTTTATTTGGTAATAGGTTACTTCTATTTCTGTACATTTTCGTGATACAAATTACAATTATCGAAAAAAGAGTGCTGGAATTTAATGCTATTGTAAATGATTTCTTATACTTCCTGCTTTGTGGTCCTTCATCTTAAGGTGGTGGTCCGTGATAGATATGATTTCACCGAAATTCTTTTTTGTTTTCTTTTACTAGTCTCTGGATCATGCATTTAAATTTGTAACGGTGAAGAACCATCTACACTCCCCGGGGTGGGTGGGGGGAATATCAGCAACAATCATGTTATATCATATAATCAGATATATGGAATTAAATTGATGCCACCAATTCATTTGATTAGTACAATAGAACCGACATATTACTATGTTAATCTTCCAATTTGCCCCTTTTCTACGATCCTAATCAGCAATTAAAGTCAAGAACACAAGATCTAAGCCAGTAGCCAGAAGTTCTTCTGCCACCTTGTGCTGATAAGGTAGCCATTGGTGCCTTTACTTCTCTTTCTCACTGCTATTGTCAAGCATTCTGCGTTGTTGATACAATTCTCAGCAAACTCCTCTGTGCTGCTCCTACTGCGGCTTCCACATAGGCTGCAAAGATTAACGAATTAACTTTCCAATACCAAGTCTTTTTAAAGCAAATGTTGAGTAGTAAAATTAAAATTTTCAAAGAGTTTGAGGATTGAGATTGAAGGATGGAAAATTGCATTAGTTGATGGATGATTAGAATCTCACCAACTGAAGAGAGGAAGAGGCTTCTTTTGGCCCAATACCAAGACAGAGACCTCAAGTTTTTTCACTTGGCTCATCACTGTAGCTAGTTTTGGTCCTTCAATTACAAGTGCTTCCACTTCCACCTATGTCAGACCAAGACAGTGTCATTATTATTATTTTTACTTTTCTGAGGGGGTAATGCGCAAAGAAAAACTGAAGCATCTGAGCATTCTCATGATTTCTCTGCAGAAAGTGAAAATAATAGAACGGAATAGTGCTGGAAACTCAGACCCTTTGCCCTCTAAAGAAGAGAAAAAGTTGGAAAAAATAATGTGCAAAAGAAATATTAAAAAAAAAAATAGAGAGAGAAAAAGGAAGGAACTTCCTACTTCCCTCTTGCTGTGCAACATTGAAGATTCACATATCAACTTGAATCAAGATCTACCAAGCTCAATGGCCATCCCTGACATCAATGAATGCAAGGAAAGGAAAATGGAGAAAGAACATAGCCTATGTTCTCTCTACTTGACCTCAAGAAATGAAAGTAAGGAGTAACATATTACTCTGACTCCAATTCACGAACTTACCTCTGGCTTGGAATCTTTGCAAAGGGACCCAAGATAATTGACAAGATAGGTAGAACAAGAAGATTCAGAAGCCTTATGTGGAGGTACAACATGAAGCAAAGTGAGCAAATCACCCTTATTTGCAACATGGGTGAGTGTCCACATCATTGCATGCTTGGAATGTGAAGTGTGATCAACCACCACCATCACTCTCTTCCTCACCATATCCTCTTTCCCATACATTGCAAAACCTTCCATTTGATTCAGACTTGTCTCACACCCTTCAACGTTCACTCCCCCACCACTGTTATATTTGTCCTTCCTACTCCACCTATTTGATGTTGATTTCCAAGCCTCCTTCACACTTAACTGTCTCAACAATGAACCCGAACTTTGCATTGTCTCTTTGACACCCCTTATGGCTGATATATCCAAATTGAAGTTCACTATTACTCAGTGAAGAGATAGAACAAGAGAGAGGGGTAGGGTGGGTGCCAAGAGTGCTTGAGTGCAGTGGAGGTTTTTTTGGGCAGGTTATTATAGCAGAGGGAAAACAGACTGCAAAGTTTGGGGGGTAACTTTTGTGCAGATTGAAGTGTCACGGGAATCCCTGGCTAGTTGTGGCTTTACTCAAATATGATGTTGTAGTCTGTTTTGATGATGATTAATGTACGGTCATTTCTCGTCTAATCTGATTCAGATTCTTTTGTATATTAGTAACAATAGTTTAACATTTTTGACATGATAAACTGACTCATATGTATTGTTACACATGATTAAGATAAAACAAATTAGTAAATGATGGGTTACCTCATGCCACATGATGCACATGATGTAAAGTGGTCCATCTATAAAAAAATCATATCCACAGCCCTCAGTGCCATTAGATCTGTATATTGATAGATTCCCAGAGAATATGGTTGCAACTTTGCAAGCCATGCCATCATGGGTAAACACATGGGTCTAAGAACAATGTTTCCATACATAGTCCTTTTGCATTGTCACATCAATATATCATGAAGTTTGATGCATAGAATTAATTGATGGTATTAAATATTTTACCGCTCCCACTTACATTGTTACTTTCTGAAGTTCATATTAAGGCACCTCACTTCCACCAAAGCAGTGTCACAAATGGAGCTAGGGGGAGGGAGTAACTCTATATCATTCTGGTTTTTGTGTGAAGATGAATTTCAGTTTTTTAGCAGGAAGCTGCATCCTCACCTTCCAAATAAAAAATATTGATTGGCTTAGAGATCTGAGCTAACAGGCATATGAGGCCATTAATGAAACAGTGCAAGTTTAGCATGTAGAAAATACAAGAAACATATATATATACTATCCACATCTAATATACCATTAAAGTGTCTCAGAAATCATTAGATTAACACTTGACCCTAGTCCCAATATAGATAATGTTATCACTAGCCTTTATCATCCTTCTCCATGGGGCTGATAGTGTGAAAATTTGGAGGGTATAAATATCATTTAATTAGCATATATTAGAATATTGCACCAATGTATCTTATATATTAAAAGAAAAAACTATTTTCTTTGGGGTGTTGTTGTTAACCCCCTTAGATTACCAAAAAAAAACAAAGAAAAAACTATTTGGTTTCTTTATTTGTCATTCACTTGTCTTCAGTGGTCAGGTAAACAGCAAAGAATCCTGCCTAGACAGCCTATAATAATAATAATAATAATAATTTTAATATAAAAAACAAAAATATTAGCAAAACAGTACTTTATTTATTATAATGTTACGTATGAAGATTATGGGGAAGGTGTCAGAAATCAGAATTGGGACCCCCCATATATTGGGTCTTGTTTTGTTTTGGGGTGCTGTTATGATCAAGCACGATTCAGAGCTAGAGGGCCGTACTTACAAATAATTGCCCCCGGGTAGCTCGCTGGACCAACCATCTCTACTCGGTGTACACTCACAACAAAAACGACCATTCAATTTCAACCCTTTCCCTCTTTTCTTTTTCATGACCCTTTCACAGAGTCTATACTATATGGATTCAAATGAGAGTGTTGAGTTTACTTCCCTTCTTCTTCTTTTTTTTTTTTTTTTGAATAAATTACCGGTATCCTTTTTGAGAGACAATTTTGTTCAAGACGAGTTCAGGATTAAGACTTTAAACTCCTTCACAAAAATAATACTGGAAGGATTGAACACATATTTTTACTTTTATCTGCTTAGTTCTCATGCACTAACTAAGCTATCATTATTTGTTATTTACTTCCCTTCTTTCAGCTTGAGGTACAGTGCTTATTGCTAGACTTTAATTATAGGAGGGTCATGTGATAAATTTGTTGTCAGGTCGCTTTTAACATGATTTTCAGAAACAGGTATATCAGATTAATATTACCAGAGCCGATAGGCCATCAATTAATTACCCAATTCATCACTTTTTCTAGTTTCTTCTTTTGTATTTAAGTGCAGTAAATAACAAACAAGTGTTGCATCCGTGTGAGTTTATACATAATGTGTTCCGGAAATAGTTACACGTATTTGGATCTGCATGCAGGTACACAGCTTTTAATTTTGTTTCATTTCAATGGTCCTGTCCTGGTGGACAATCTAATCATTAAAATACCACTCTGGACTTGATTCTAAGTGCAACCTTTACTTTTGTGAGTTGCTAGAAAAGAGTATGAAAGTTGGAGGCATTTGCTCCATCATGCATGACACTCAAATTCAGTGAACTCTATGTTTTTTACTTGGTATGGACATATTACACATAAACATGAAAGGTAGTGGAACACATTATTATGATACTTCTTCACCATTTATTATCAAATTATACAATAAAATTTTCATTTAACTGTTACTAATTCTGTCAATTTAACAAATACAACCTAATAAAAAATCATAAAAAAAATTCATTTATATAATAGCATAAATACAAGCTTAGTTAGACCAGATTGAGTTTCATAATTCAGTTTATATAAGATTTTGATGGATGTTTTGAATAAATAATTTTGGAAATTGATAAAATTGAGGTCTAAACATAACCTAATGCCACTTGTGTAACATCCCGAGCGCTGACGAGGGCGGAGAGTGATCGGCGATGCAAAGAGGCATGAACAAGGAGCGGCTGCTTCTAGCGTGGGGTTACATGCATGAATGGTTCGAATCGACACCCGAAAAAGAGGGATTCCAAAGACTGTGCAGGTGTGAGACTGCACAGTTTGGAATAACTTATAAGAATTAATTGGTACTACCTATACTAACAAGATGCATATGCTTTTCGGTAGCCCAGAACGGAAGAACTCCACAGTTAAGCATGCTTGACTTGGAGCAATTCTGGGATGGGTGACCTCCTGGGAAGTTTTCTCAGGAAGTGTGCGAGTGAGGAGAAAGCACACTGAAAAGTCTCGTGTTAGTATGTGGGGATAATCGTTGATTCTTGAAGCGGCCGGGCGTTACAAGTGGTATTAGAGCAGGGCCTCTCTTCCAGTACGGTGTGGTTCGAGGACGAACCAGGCAGAAGCTGGTGGGCATGTAACATCCCTAGCGCTGACGAGGGCGGGGAATGATCGCCGGTGCAAAGAGGCATGGACAAGGAGCGGCTCCTGACAGGCTTCTAGCGTGGGATTACATGCATGAATAATTCGAATCGACACCCGAAAGAGAGAGATTCCAAAGACTGTGCAGGTGTGAGACTGCACAGTTTGGAATAACTTATAAGAATTAATTGGTACTACCTATACTAACAAGATGCATCTGCTTTTCGGTAGCCCAGAACGGAAGAACTCCACAGTTAAGGGTGTTTGACTTGGAGCAATTTTGGAATGGGTGACGTTTTCTCAGGAAGTGTGCGAGTGAGGAAAAAGCACACTGAAAAGTCTCGTGTTAGTATGTGGGGATAGTCGTTGATTCTTGAAGCGGCCGGGTGTTACAACTTGTCATTAACTTACCATGTAGAGCATAGTTGTTACTACTGCGTGTTGAGGGTTAAAGGTGAATCTTCATTTTATATAGAAGAAATTCTTACATAGGGACACACTTAAAACGTCATTTTGGTACACATCTAATTAGCAAATTGTGAACACCTATTTTTGTCCTTAAAAAAGAAAAAAACATCAAAGAAAAAAGAGAGAAAGCAGCCAACATAGCGATAAAATCATAGAGGAAGTTCTTTATACCGGATAGGTAATTTAATAATTACTAATTGGAATATGATAAATCATTACAGGTTACATTGCCAAATAAATTTAATTATTTGAGCAAGTTACTAAAACAACGATTCTTCCGTTAACTATCAATTTTTGGCAGACACTAATATGAAGCAGTGATTTTACATTGCTCAATCCTATCATCTTGCTATCATCCATATTGGCTACACAATTGAGGTCAGTGGTTCATGAACTTCATCAACAGGAAGTGTACTCTCTCTCTCTTTTTGGGTACAAACTACAAAATGAGGGCTAAAGCCCAAAAAAGCAGAAAACTAACTAAGGAGACACTACAACAGTAAAATTACTGCAGTTTCTGCGATCTTCCCTTATTCTAAGAAGCACTCCTTCAGGAGCGTAATTCAACCTGAGAAAATTTGAATTCCATTAGACCAAGAAGTGTACTCTTAAAGCAAGGATAACTAGATTATTGTGTGTTAGATAAATGAAGGATAGAAAATAATGACTTTATACATATGCATGGGTACGTTGTGTGTTAGATTTCATTCATGATTTAAGGGATAAGGCAGTCAAAACAAAACACCTATACGCTAAAAAAATTGATACCATAAAAAACTCTGCAGAGTTACAACTTGTGCTTGAGCCTAAAACGAATGACTGTTATGGTGTTATCATTCTTTTACACATATTATAGAGTCATACAACAGCAAGCTACAGGGCTAAAAAGAAAAAGGCATTCACCACAATCTTGGCAGAATTCAGTTATAGGTGAAATCATCAACCACTATTCAAACTGTATTATGAATCTCTTCAAAATCACCCAATACATTGTTGAAGCAATAGGGCATTGTAAAGGCCTTCATATAAGTTGTCAATTTACCAAATTACACGATAGCTTAGAAAATTAAAATAAAAACCCAATCTCAGATCTTTAAACCCAATAACAGATATATAGATGAAAAAAATATGAAATGAGAGAGGTTAAGGAAGTTACCTCAAGAGGGAAATATTTGAGGATGCTGGTGAGGAACAAAATGGAGGTTTCTTCGATGCACAGGGGATTACTTCCAACATTCCAAAACCAAGCAAAACAACCCTCTTGACTAAACGATGGAGGTGAGAATGGTTTAGAGGGCTAGGACACTGTAACCTTTGTAAAAGCTAGGAAATTTTGCAAAAGGAAAGGAATCGAGTTAGCTACCAAGTGAGAATAGGGGAGAAGCACGTGATCGACTAACGGAGTTGGGAGAAATTTTAACAGATATGTTTATTGGGGAAGGATATTCTTGATATTCTTTCTAACATATATATTCTTTCTAACAAA